CACCTTGTACAAGTTATATGTAATGCATTAACTAAAACACAAATAAAGGCAGTAGCTCCGTAACATCGGCCTTAATATATATAAAAAAAAAAAAAAAAAAACTATGATCTAATATATATGCATTATTTAAATATAATAGTTTTTAAAATAAACAGGCTTAGTACTGAGAAAAAAAACCAAATTAACAATAATATCTCTAGTCTAATTTTAAATTAGTTAAGTTCAAAAAATGATTTTTGAAAAAATTGTTAATTTGATCTTTTTTCTTAGTATCTAATCTAAATATACATAAGTTACTAAATATCTTTAAATTTCAAGTATAAAAAATATATCAACTGATATAGATCATCATTAAATTCTGAAAGCCATTTATTAATTGAGATAATGCAATACTTTCGAAAAGAAACATAATCTTGAGGCATTCAATAAATTGTAGCAGCTAATTTAATTAAATATATAAAACAATCTGCAAGTGTTGAATTACAACTTTTGAGTTGAATAATAGATTCTTTAATAGGTTGTAAAACCATAGTTATAAAATCTAGATTATCATAAAATGCTTCTCTATTTAAAATTGTATATATTTTATTATTTGAAATAATATCAAGATTATATTCTAAAATCTTTAAATATACAAATAATTAGTATTAAATTTATAATATAAAACACACTTATATTATAGTAAAGTCATGATAAGAAACAAAAATAAAAGTTTTCTAAAATTCAAAACTATATTGGGTCTTCAATAGTAAAAGTTCACTATAACAAAAGTGAGTCATAATATAAATATAAATTAATTTATTCAAACAAATACAACTTTTAAACATAATATTAAACAAACGGTATCATAATAATTTGATCAATGAATTGCTATATATTATTTAATATCTCTACCTACAATATTATTAAGTTGAATTTCATTTTCAAATACTAAATTAGCAATATGAGATAATCTAAAAAATTGTACAACTAATGTTGCTTGAGATAAAATACATTTTGTAAAGAATTCTTTCATAATGTTCTTGCAAATAAAGTTGAACTGATAAGCTATATATGATATATTTATTATATAGAAAAATTTTTGTGTAATTAATCATCTTGCTACACAACATTTATGCTACTATTACTAACCATTGCACAAATTTTTTTTGTACCAATTTGATTAATAATTGTTTTAATTTCTTAGACAAGGAATTCTGCTATATGTCTAGCATTTGAATAATTGTATAAAATATACAAATACTTTTTTCGATTAGATGTCAAACCAAAAAATTCCAAACTGATCTGTCTTTTCAACCATCAAGTGCTTTAAAAAAATGAATATGATTATATAGTTTATAAAAAATAAAACTCAATAAAAAAAAATTAAATTAAATAAAATTTAATATTTATATACCAAGGGTAATATTATTTTTGGATTGCAACTCATTTTCTATTTTTGCTTCTATATGAATAAGTTGTTTATTAAAAATTCTTTCTGTAAGTATTTAGAACTTGGTATCTTAAAACTGGTTTAAGATCTTGAAGCTATGTATGAAAAACTTTATTTTTAGCAATATTAAATGAAACACTTGAACAAATAAATGCAAGACACATGCACTTTTCTAAATGTTTTTGTCTTTTTAAAGATAGCTCTTAATTTTTAACAAATTTAGAAATATCTTCAGTTTTTTGTTTTTTATTTGTTTTTTTGGTTTTCACTATTCTCATTTAATTGTTTAAAGTAAAAAAGTTGTGTTTCTACTGGAGCTTTAGAATAGTTATATGCAATATATATTTTAAGAGTTGATATATCACTATATTGTCATTTTTGTGGACAGTATTTGCAACTTGCTGAATAATATCTGCTTTTTTTTTATTTGATTGAAATGATCTCAAATAGGATTAAAAGGTCGACTGAATACTTTTTGTTGTTTATTACTGCTAGATATTTCAGAACTAAAAACTGAAGTAGGTTCTTCATTATCAATATCATTAGATGATATTTTAAAAAAGAGATTGTTATTGTAATCTAAGTATTGAATTTTTATATTAATCATTATTAGTAATTTATTTAAAGAATGTTGCCTGATTACCCAATCAGTAAAGATGCTTTTATTAATCGGTTATTACTATTTTGCATCTTTTCAATTGGTAAACTCAGAAATTTATTAAAGATCATAAATTAAGTTACCTGAATAAACAATAGTTACTGGCAATAACTTTTCTACTAATACTGTTCTCTATTCAAATCTTATTTTGATAACAACTTTCAATACTTTATATCATTCTGTTGTAGCAAATCTTTAATAATATTTAAATACCCTTTAATTGTAATCTTGATAGCAATATTTGATATTAAATAATTATTAGATTTTGAATATTACATTTATCTTTCAATTTCTTACAATAATAATATATGTTTTTATTAAAATTATTAACCTTAGCAGATTTTATATAAAGCTAGTTAATTTTGGGATAGATTAGTCAGAAGAATGTCAAGATCCCATTGATCATAATCTTTGAATATTTTTATATCAATCTCATTAATTCTTATTTGTTAAAATAAAAAAAAATCAAATTAAATATTTTCATTATATAAGCAGATTTTTGATGAATAAATACCTTGTATTTATTTGCTATAATAATTTTTACGATTCTTCATACCAACAGCATTTCCATATCCATAAATTTTATTGTATTTATCCAATTTCTCTAATAATTAATAAATGAGCATCTTTTAACTATTATATGCTTTTTTGATATTCTTTTAAATAATAATATCTAGCGATAAATAAACTATAAATATATACCATATTCTTGATAATATTCAATTGATATTTATTCTTTTCTACTAATCTTTATATTTATTCTTTCTAATTACTATTTCTTTAAAATAACAAGTTCAAGATTGGATATTTTATAAATTTCTCATACTTTTTTACTTGCAATAAACTATTTTTAATAGTATTCAAATATCTTATATTTATTCTTCTAATTCTAATTTTAAATTAATATTCTATTTTTATTATTTATTTTGGTAGATTGTTTATAATAGATAAATCTTTACGTTCGTTTTTTTCAACACTAATTTTATATTGATAACAATGTTTGATATTATACGCAAGAAAAGAAATACCATTGTATAGTTAACAAGTAAACTTTTATCCATTTGAAACTTAGTTATAATTTGTCTAGTTAGTCTTACAAAATTATATAATATCTAGTAAAACTTTTTTTATTCTTCCTTTTGCTATACTATATATATTATATCTCACAATCTATAGCTTTAATCAACATCTAATAGTTATATAACAATGAGATTTGAATTATCTTATATTACTAGCAAAAAGAATTTATCAACTTACTAATCTCCATATTTTATATTTATATACAACTTTTACTGTTGTAATATTTTATTATTTTACTACAAATATATGATTATGAATATGGTAAAATAATGTATTTATTAAATAAACAAATAAACTCTGTATGATAAACTACTGATCTAACTGATATATCTTTATAATCAATTATTTTTCACCTTGTTGCAATTAAATACTGTTACAAACTAGTAAAAACTGTAGGTAATACAGGTTCAATTACTCTTTATATATATATATACATAATACGGTATTAGAGTATATAATATGTATATAGACAAAATTTATATGAATATTGAATAGACAAATTCATGTAATGATTTAATATATAGTAAATGCATCTAATTATTAAAATACCAAGTACAAGCCTTTAGAATTAAAGATAAGTATATATTTAGAGAAGGTATACACTTACAAAGAGTATATTTAGAAGGGTTTGGGTTCCATAGCTTATTGGTTAAGCTCCCATACCCCCACAGACAAGGTCAATGGTTCAAGTCAGGCTGGAGGCAAATTA